TAACGACAAGTAAATGTGGAAATTATAAATGAAGAACTGAAGGCCGCTGAAAAAAGTGGAAACATTTGGGTTCACAGATTGACAACCAACTTATATCTCACAAAGGCCTGATTCCTTCTGGTTTACCAAGATGTTTCCTTATGAGATATCAGTGTTTTTTCATGATGGTTTCACTGGTGGGCATGCACACCTGGCTGCCAGAGCCAGGTGACTGAGCTGGGTCAGCCTGGGCTGTGGCTTACACACACACACACACACACACACACACACACACACACACACACAAACACACACACTGGAAAGGATAAATACATGGTGTGCCATGATCCTGCACAGCATTCTCTGGGCTGCTCCCTGGAGCATGGATCCAGGCTTTGAGCAATGCTATATCACTTGGGAAGGCCTGTGGACTCATGTTTGTATATGCATCAATATCTTCTCCACCACCTTGGGAGGCTACACAACCAAAACCAAGTATTCAGAAAATCACACTCACAAAGCTCAAAGTGACTTAGAGACTCTACAGGAGCAGCTTGTTTATTTTACATCCAAAAGGCCAGGTAGGGTAATTTCTTTCTACAGAAGGTAGACAGTCAACTGTTTACCTTTCCCTGTACCATTTAGATATAATCAAAGGCCCAGGATGGGCTTGAGATGTTGCTTGAAAACAGGACAGGCAGGCCTCGGACCACATCTTAACATCTTTTTAAAAAGATATACATATTCTTTTTTGAAAGATTTTTATTTATTTATTTGACACAGAGAGAGAGAGAGAGAGATCAAAAGTAGGCAGAGAAGCAGGCAGAGAGAGGGGGAAGCAGGCCCCCTGCTGAGCAGAGAGCCCAATGTGATGCGGTGCTCCATCCCAGGACCCTGGGATCTCCACCCAAGCAGAAGGCAGAGGCTTAATCCACTGAGCCACCCAGGTGCCCCTACATCTTAGCATCTTTAACACCAAGAACAGTGTCCTCAAATTAAGATGAACAGGTGTACCATTGTCCATCTTGGTTTACCAACCAGTCTTTCTCCCTCCCTCTCTCTCTCCATCCCTCTTTCTTTCCTTCCTTCCTGCATTTCTCTCTCCCTCTTTCTCTCTCTTTCTGTCTCTTCTTCTTCTGGCAGGGATGTGGAACTGGATTGGAAAATCATAATGAAGTGTATACTGGTAACTTCTGCACTGTCACCTTAGCTAAGCATGTACACTTGGACCCTTTTGAGTGTTTCTTAACTTCAGAGACAGATTTTCACAGGAAAACTCCAGATCCAATGAAGGGCAGCCGTTGTGTCTAAGGTAATAACATAGAGTGAAAAGACTGGATGTTCTTCTTCAAGTTTCTGCCTTATTCTGATTTCTGGTCTCAGGGCAGGAGCCAACTTGTCCTTCCTGGGATAGTGCCAGCTGAGAAACCATGACACTTTACTTGCATGGTTCACCATGGAGCCTGTCAGCCTCCCATCCAATGAGGCACCTCTGACTTAATTATTCAATAAGTAAGGAATGCTGAGAAAGGATTTTCGTGGCTAACAGTGTTTTAAGGTGATGCCAACTTTATAAGGAAAATGCAATTTTTAAGCATCTATTTTAAAATGTCACATCTCTTTGATTTTCTTACTGGTTTTTAAAAGAGTGTCCTTCAGAGAGTAATAGATGGTTGAAATTGATAGAAAAAGGCATTATTGTTTCAATCTTAAAAACTAATAATTCTAGGGGCGCCTGGGTGGCTCAGTGGGTTAAGGCCTCTGCCTTTAGCTCAGGTCATGATCTCAGGGTCCTGGGATCAAGCCCTGCATCGGGCTCTCTGCTCAATGGGGAACCTGCCTCCCTTCCTCTCTCTCTGCCTTCCTCTCTGCCTACTTGTGATGTCTCTCTGTCAAATAAATAAATAAAATCTTTAAAAAGAAAAACAAAAAAAACCTAATAATTCTAGAGAGGCATATACAAGAATTACATGCAGACTTAGGACCACTCTCTACATGCTAAATAAGAATATTTTACAGATTTTAATTCAGAGCTATTTGCAAATACTTCAGAGGGTTCATGCTATTGATTATTTGCATCCATTGGAGAAAGTTTTTTTATATATAAGTCCAAAGAATCTTTTTTTTAAAAAAGATTTTATTTATTTATTTGACAGTCAGAAATCACAAATAGGCAGAGAGGCAGGCAGAGAGAGAGGGGGACACAGGCTCCCCGCTGAGAAGGGAGCCTGATGTAGGGCTTGATCTCAGGACCCCAGGATCATGACCTGAGCCGAAGGCAGAGGCTTTAACCCACTGAGCCACCCAGGCGCCCAAATCCCAAGAATCTTGTACCATAAATGTATATGAAAATATATGTCAGACTAACTTCTATCACTTTTATTTTTCTTCTCCTAGAAGGGAACATCTCTGTTCCTGTAATTTATTCACAACATTTAATTTATAAGCTTGTTCATTTTAAGTGGGATTACCTATCAGTGGAAGGTTGAATTTGGAAGCTCTCTCTGAAGAGAGGTTTCTCCACAAAATGCAAACTGATTTAGTGTTTCCTGAGCTCATCTGCATTTGCTGGAGGTTTTGTGGTTGTTTTTTTGTTGTCATGTATTTTCCACTACTTGGTCTTTTGACATAACTTTCTGCCCACTTCCCTTGTTAAAAAATGGCAACACCAAGACCCACCCATAAGACTAATTCCTCATCCTGCACTCAATGACTTGCATTGGTCCTAGTGATCTTTCAGTCAGCTTGTCTTTTGACCACCTTGGGAGTGATACAGAACACATTTCCCCTACAGCTTCCTAATTTTGACAGCATGGCTTGCCTTGGCCAAGGACGAGGAGGAGGTCTGGCTCCCATAGTAAGCCTCATGCAAATGTGAGCTCAACAGATAAGCTGGGGACACCAGGTGTCAGTGAAGAGCCACAACCCTGTGAAACAGAAATTTTGATTCCTAGACTTAGAATGAATAATCTGAGAAAAAGTAAGGATTGATTTCTATTTCTTTTTCTATAAAACTATATAAAACTCTCCAACCGAAGTGATCTCATTTTCTTAGGCCCTCTCTCGCCTTTCTTGCTCTATGTCCACCATCTTTAGACTAAAATCTTCTTTATGATTTTCTAAATCTTTTAGAAAACCAGTAGGGACCCTGAGTAATCTTGGGTCACAAGAAGGCAGCTTGCAACTCTCCACATTTGTGCCCGGGTTTTCCTTTTGTATAATTACTATTATTATTTTTAAGATTTTATTTGTATATTTGAGACAAAGAGAAAGAGCACAAGTGGGGAGAAGGATCAGAGTGAGAGGGAGAGGCAGACTCCCCACTGAACAGAGAAGGCCTTGATCTCAAGACCCTGAGATCATGACCTGAGCTATAGGCAGACGCTTAACCAACTGAGGCACCCAGGTTCTCCTCCTCTTGCATAATTATACTAAGAGGTGGCCAAGTTGTTCTGGAGATAAGTACCAGATTCTTTGATAGAGATTTAGTTTGATGCTGCCTCCAAATATGTGTCCTCATCTGCAGACCATTTCCTAATACATATCTCTGGCCCTGTAATGCTGGTTACTGGGCATTCACAGATGCAAAGATGGAACAGAGCTCCAAGGAGTTTGGAGATCATCTAGTTTCCTTGGTGACCTTTACATTTGAGAAATGGGGGCCCAGAGACATTAAGTGACCTGCACAAGGTCTCACAGCAAGGAAGTGAGTGACCAAAGCCAGATCCTCCCTCTGTAGCCTGTGGTCTTTCACCACTAAAGACAGTCGTCTGCAGCTAATTTATACATCTTGTTTTCTCCAGGCTTTACTCATCTGTTTCTGTGCTAACACACCACTTTCTCTTTCTTCCAATTTGCTTTCTAGAATTTGTGAATCACACCCTATGGATCCCTTTGACCCTTTTCTCAAACTCCTTGGACCAAAGCTATTCCAGTGCAGAGCCAGGATTGGCCAGACATTCACAAAGAAACGGGTTCCTGGCTACCAGTACACGCTCCATTTTTCTTTTCCTCTAATATTCCCCCCACCTCTCTAATTAATGTGCTCAGTCTAAACTAATGTGCTATTTGCTATAAAATGTTATAAAGACACTGTAGAGATTCCTGGACCAACTAGATCAAATCTCAAGTTAGAGCATGGCTCAGAATGGGACACCAACGTGCATGCACATAGAGGAAGACACAGCCAAGGCTCTAAATGAGATGGAAATAAAATGAGCATGTTATAATATGTTAATGATTCACAAAATCTATTTAGTTATAGGATAGACAAATTGCCAGGAAACTGCTTATTTAGAACATGGCTATCCATCCACCCATTTATTCACCTCTGCACCCACTGGTCTGTCTGATCTTCTTGCTGCTAGAAAAGATTTGAATAGCAGAGCCTAAGGAAACATCAGGGCAGATAAGCGACAGTCTAACTGATGAGGTTATCAAACAAGACAGCGAAACACAAAAATATTAATCTGAATATATTCATTTTATAAAACTTAGTAGTACATAAACAATGTATTGTTAAATATTGACATTTTTTCTCCTATGACTTTAAAACCAGTATTGTGGTAATCTACCATTTTCTTTTAATCTCTCTCTGTTTCTTAATGTCAGAAGGAAATGATAGAGATTACCCTCATATTCAAATATGTGCATGAATATTATTAGAAAGAGAGAGAACTAGGATTTTTTTTCAAGGTTTTTGAAAGTACTCTATCACACAAGCCAGAAAAACCCAGTTGCCTCTATTTTCATTCTGACCAAACGTAAAATCATAGAAATATTTTTCCTACTCAGATAGCAGCTTGAAGGCAAAAAAAAAAAAAAATTGTCTCTGCAAATTAGCTTTCACAAGTAATCGTGAAGAAGAAAATAGTCATCATTCACAAATTCTCATGTCAAATAGCAGACATAGAATAGGGACAACCATGGCCTCTGTCAATAAAGGGCATTAGAACAGTTTTTGGATTGTGACAAAAACAGCCAGTCTCCCCAGAGTCAGAAACCAAATTACAAGCCCTTACCTTGGAGGGCCTGTAAGCTATGAGTCTGTACGATAATGCAGAGCTGCAGGACCAGCTGTGGAGCACTTTCCAGAAAGGTGGCTAGCAAATGCAGCATACTCACATCTGCATACTCATACACCATTTTCCAGTAAAACCTCCATCTGTCATTCTCCCCACTCTGTCGACTTCGAATACCTAAGTAGATTGTGTGGAAATATCTAGAAAGAAAACATGGAGAAGAAGAAAGAAATGAGTGATCATTTATAATTCAAACACCAAGGCTGCTTTTCTTTTCTGCAAGCCACTATACACAAGCACACAAGAAACAGTTGCTTTAGCGGCTTATTAATTTAAGACCCAAAGATAACTGCTTAGCAAGCACCCTTTTTCTTAAATGTGAGCTTTGAGAAGTCCTTGCAATCTTCGGCCTCATTAAAGGCAATCCACTGACTTGAAATATCAAGAGTGAGGTGAAATGTGTCAGAAACTCAGGTATAGAAGGGATTTTCCACTTTTACAATCTATACACACCCTTTCTGTTCAGTTTCTTTATGTGCTCAGTGGTACTCAGGGGATGGATTTCTCTTAGGGCACAATGCAAGTCTAAAGTATTAGAGTGCATGTGCTTTTAAACACTCTTGATGTCTTCTAAAAACTGTTTTATTATTAAAAATTTCAAACATATACAAAAAGAGAAAAAATAGTGTATTGAGTTCACTATATGCATCAACCAAATTAAGTAATTATTGATACATGTATGCACAATACATACATTATTTTTTATTTATACCTTCACTTACTCCCTGCCACCAGATAATCTTTTTTTTAAAGATTTTATTTTATTTATTTGACAGAGAGATCACAAGTAGGCAGTGCAGCAGGCAGAGAGAGAGGTGGAAGCAGGCTCCCCGCTGAGCAGAGAGCCTGAATGCGGGGCCTGAGTCCAGGACCCTGAGATCAAGACCCAAGCTGAAGGCAGAGGCCTAACCCACTGAGCCACCCAGGTGCTCCCCCACCAGATAATCTTGAAGCAAATCCTAAGCATCATGTTATTTCATCTGAAAGTATTTTATTTAAAATAATTGACAAACATAAATACAATACCATTATAACATTACAAATAAGTATAATTTAATATTATAAAAAATACCCAGTTTTCATATTTTCCTGATTATCTTATTTTCTTTAGAGTTTATTTGAAATACATTCCAAACAAGACCTATATGTGATAATTATTTGATATGTATTTTAAGTCTCTTTTACACACCATTATTACTCTTTCATTTTTTTTTTCATTTCCCACCTATTTCTCACTGTCTTGGCTTTGATGATTGCATACATGTGGTATGGTTACATTTGTCCTTTCTGTTTTCTTCAGTCAGTGTTGGTCAGATTCAATTTTTTTTTTAAATTTAATTTATTTATTTGACAGCAGGAGACACAGCGAGAGAGGGAACAGAAGCAGAGGGAGTGGAAGAGGGAGAAGCAGGCTTCCCCCTGAGCAGAGAGCTGATGGAGGGGTCGATCCCAGGACCTTGGAATCATGACCTGAGCCAAAGGCAGACGCTTAGCAACTGAGCCAACCCAGGCAGCCCCAGATTCAAGTTTGATCATTTTTTATTAGGTGATGTTGACTACTTTCTTGAGGAGATCTCAATATTCTCCTTTATGATGTCATCATCCACTAATGATCATTTCCTAGATCCATTCATTCATTAGCGGTTGTGAAATGGTGATATTCTGAGTCTATCATCCTTTAAATTTTTTTCAAAGTTTTTGTTTAAATTTCAGTTAGTTAACCTACAGTGTAATATTAGTTTCAGGTGTACAACACAGTGATTCAACAATTCCATACAACACCCAGTGCTTATCACGACAAGGGAACTCCTTAATCCCCATCAACTATTTAGCCCATCTCCCCACCCACCTGTCCCATGGTAACCATCAGTTTGTTTTCTATAGTTGAGAGTCTGTTTCTTGGTTTGTCCCTCTCTTTTTCTCCTTTGCTCCTTTGCTTTGTTTCTTAAATTCCACATATGAGTGAAATCATGTGGTTTCTATCTTTCCATAATTGACTTTTTTTCTTATTGTAATACTTTCTAGTTCTATCTGCATTGTTGCAAATGGCAAGATTTCATTCTTTTTTATGGCTGAGTAATATTCCTGTGTGTGTGTGTCTGTCTGTGTGTGTGTGAATGCAAATGATATATATCTATTTATCACATCTCCTTTATCCATTCATCAGTCAACAGACACTTTGGTTGCTTCCATAATTTGGCTAGTGCAGATAATGGTGCTATAAATATTGGGGTACATGTATGCCTTTGAATTAGTAATTTTACATTCTTGGGTAAATACCTAGTAGTGCAATTGCTGGATCATAGGATAGTTCTATTTTAACTTTTTGAGGAAACTCTACCCTGTTTTCCAGAGTGGCTGCACCAGTTTTGCATTACCAACAATAGTGCAAGAAGTTCCCCATCCTCTGCATCCTTGCCAACACCTGTTGATTCTTATGTTGTGGATTTTAGCCATTTTCTGTGAGTTTATACTTTAGATTTTCATCTCCCTGATGATGAGTGATGTTGAGCATTGTTTCATGTGTCTCTCGGGCATCTCTTTGTCTTCTTTGGAAAAATGTCTATTCATGCCCTCTGCCCATTTTTTAATTGGATTATTTAGTTTTTGGGTACTAACTTTTGTAAATTCTTTATATATTTTGGATACTAACCCTTAATCAGATATATCATTTGCAAATATCTTCTCCCATTCCATAGGTTGCCTTTTAGTTTTGTTCATGGTTTCCTTCACTGTGTGAAAGCTTTTTATCTTGATGAAGTCACCATAGTTTGTTTTTGCTTTTGTTTCCCTTGCCTCAGGAGACATATCTAGAAAGAAGTTGATATGGTTGATGTCAAAGACATTACTGCCTGTGTTCTCCTTTAGGATTTTTATTGTTTCATCCCTCATATTTAGATCTTTAATCCATTTTGAATTTATTTTTGTGTACAGTGTAAGAAAATGGTCCAGTTTCATTCTTTTGAATGTTGCTGTCCAGTTTTCCCAACACCATTTATTGAAGAAATTGTCTTTTTCCCATTGGATAGTCTTTCCTGTTTTGTCAAAGGTTAATTGACCATATAGTTGTGGGTTTATCTGTGGGTTTTCTTTTATTGTGTTCCATTGATCTCTGTGTCTATTTTTGTGACAGTGCCATACTGTTTTGATTACTAAAGCTTTGTAATATAACTTGAAGTCCAGAATTGTGTTGCTTTCACCTTTCTGTTTCTTTTTCAAGGTTGCTTTGAAACAAAGCTACTCATATCACTTTTTTTGTTGCTGTTGTTGTTGGCTGTTATGTCAATGACTCTGCAGTATGTTTGGTGGTCTGAAGCTTATTCTCTAGTAGATCCCCTAAGAAAGGTACATTGTAACAATATTCTTAGAATTCTTGCATATTTATAACAGCATGCGGTTACCAATCTTGACTTGCATGGGAATAAGTTTTCATCTATTAAGAGGACCCTGAAGTCGCACAATTTTTTATGAAAATTGGTGCCCATTTCTAGAGTCTGTGAAAGAACTTCACCTACCAGACGTAAAGGTTTTGTGATACCAAGATGGGCGGATGATAGAGATATACCAATGAAAAAAGCAGAATATCTGGGGAAATCTTTGCATTGGAGGGTCAGGTTGGATGGCTGTAAAATCCATGCATATTCCATATAAAATTGAAGATCTGCAGTTTATTTATTTTAGTCTATTAAATCTATTATCTCATTGCTTACTAGCCTGAAGTGTTGTCATGGAAGTTTGATAAAAATCTGATATTCTTTCTCTTGTAAAGAATTTGAATTTTTGTTTAGATGTCTCAGGAATATTTGGTTCTTTTTGAAGACCTATGGTTTTATTAGGATATATCTTGATATGGGCTCTTCTGCATCAAGTTTCCCTTTTATCTTCTAGTTATGGTATTTGAGGGTCATCACACCCCTACTAGTAGAGTTTTCATTTCTGAGCTTCTTTTAAAAATATTAGAATTCTGTATTGGGTTATATCATCTTTCTTGTCAAATCTTACTTTTTTCTATATATTTCTTTTTTTTAAATTTTTTTAAAATTTATTTTCAGCATAACAGTATTCATTGTTTTTGCACCACACCCAGTGCTCTATGCAATCCGTGCCCTCTCCAATACCCATCACCTGGTTCCCCCAACCTCCCATCCCCCGCCCCTTCAAAACCCTCAGATTGTTTTTCAGAGTCCATAGCCTTTCATGGTTCACTTCCCCTTCCAATTTCCCTCAACTCCCTTCTCCTCTCTAACTCCCCTTGTCCTCCATGCTATTTGTTATGCTCCACAAATAAGTGAAACCATATAATTGACTCTCTCTGCTTGACTTATTTCACTCAGCATAATCTCTTCCAGTCCCGTCCATGTTGCTACAAAAGTTGGGTATTCATCCTTTCTGATGGAGGCATAATACTCCATAGCGTATATGGACCACATCTTCCTTATCCATTCGTCTGTTGAAGGGCATCTTGGTTCCTTCCACAGTTTGGCGACCATGGCCGTTGCTGCTATAAACATTGGGGTACAGATGGCCCTTCTTTTCACTACATCTGTATCTTTGGGGTAAATACATTTCTTTTTAAATTTTTTTCTAATTCTAATTTATATCATTCTTTCATAACTTTTATAATTCTCCTAATTTCTTTCAACTCATTTTGAAATATTTGTTTATGGTTTTTATCTGTTTTCTACATTTTTTCTTGGTATGGTTTCATTATCTGTAAGAACATCATCATTTTTTCTTTTTCTTTTTGTTTTTAAAGATTTTATTTTATTTATTTGAGAGAGAGAGAGAGAGAATGAGAGGAGAGAGGTCTGCGGGAGAAGCAGACTCCCTGCCAAACAGGGAGACCTATGTGGGACTCGATCCCGGGACTCCAGGATCATGACCCGAGCCAATGGCAGTTGTCCAACCAACAGAGCACCCCAGGTGCCCCCATCATCATTTTTTCTATTCTCTTTTCCTTATAATAGTTTTGATTTTTTTCTCATTGCTGAGTTTAAAAATGAGTTAGTTTAGTTTTTACATAGTTTTAGGAGGTGTAAGGGGGCCAGGATGGTGTAGCTGTTGTCATAGCTCCAGAGGTCATTCCTCTTTTATTCTCATGGGTGACAAAAAAGAATATCACTTGTCAATTTTCTGACAT